TCAGAGAGCTTTTGTTTCTGTATGATGTGTTTATTGATAATTACTCTATGTTAGAAATTAAAAGTGGGAAATTTAGGGGCACGTGGGTGGCTCACAGGTCAGTTAAGGTTCACAGTTAGTTGACTCTTGATTTTGGCTTAGGTCATGAGATCATGACTTGGATGTGAAGCCTGCTTGAAATTCTTTCTCTCCCTCCCCCTCCCCAACCGCCCCCCTCGCACATGTGTGTGTTCGTCCTCTCAAAAAAATAAATAATAAGGCATTTAAAAATTAAAACTGGGAAGTTTAAAAATGCTTATATTCCATGTTGACTTCTGTTTCATACCACAATAAACTCATGTGTGCTAACATAAATGATGTTCTAATGAAAACTGTATTTTCTAAAAGAAAATTGCAAGAAGAATGACGTTTTACATTTTTGCAAATCTCTTTTTAATCCCTGGCATGTCAGAAGACAGTTGGATTCTCCTGTTTCTCCTTTCAGCCTGTTGCAATATGTTGTTTTTGTTCAAGTATATGAAGAAACATCATCTTCACACAGCTAGGTAGTTGGAAACGGTAGTATTTTAATAATAGCCTTTTTGGATAATTGTGGCTATTTTTTTATTGATACTATACCAAAACACAATTGGTAAATTTCTTAAAGATGAGAATATGGATTCTTGCCGTTATCAGTGAACTTCTTTTTCCTCAGGATTTTATTTTTAAGTAATCTCTACACACAGTGTGGGCCTTGAACTCAAAACCCCTTGATCAAGTCCCATGCTTCATCACCTGAGCCAGCCACGTCTTCCCCACCCCCTCCATCACTGAACTTTTTGTATGTTACAGTCTATTGATCTATTATGCTTCAGATTATTCTGATTTATTCTGCTCATAAGTCTTTTGCCTATGCATAATTTTGGAACTTGTTGACTCTGTACTGTCATAGTTTGTTGAGTCATGTAGATCTTCTGCATGCTGCTATGTTGCATTAGATGATATAAAAAAGTGACATTCCTTAATATCACCACTGATTCATCAGAAAAGCTTTTAAGTCTTGGGAAGCCATCAAGTTCACAGTGATGACTGCAAGTTTACCCCATTCTCATTTTTACTTGAGAGATGGAATTTTATCATTGGCAACAAATCCTTTTAGTGACAGACTTGCTTTGTTCAGTTTTGAGAAAAAGTCTGCCAAACAGGAGATAACTATCCTACTTTATTATGTAGCAGAACTACTTTATATGTTTTTGTGTTTTTTTTATTTTATATGTTTGATTTCATCATACCAAATATTAAAAGATGAAGCATACAATGAACTCTGAGACCTAAATAAATACTTACCTTTCCTTATGCTGAGGTTCCAGTGGTTTTCCTCACCATTGCTTTTGTATTGTCAGTGCCAGTGTGAGCACAGTGAAAAGGGCAGCCAGCACATGATCTCTTAGTATTATTATGATAATATGTCTGACCCTGTAGAGCCTCTGAAAAGGTCTCAGGGACCCCCAAAGGTCCATGAACCACATTTTGAGAAGCCATGTTGTAGACTAAGATTTTCTTAGGTGTATTCCATAGAATTGGGGCATGGTACATGAGAAAATGCTCTGCATCACTTGCCATCAGGGAAATACAAATCAAAACCACAATGAGATCCCACCTCACACCAGTGAGAATGGGGAAAATTAACAAGGCAGGAAACAACAAATGTTGGAGAGGATGCGGAGAAAAGGGAACACTCTTACACTGTTGGTGGGAATGTGAACTGGTGCAGCCACTCTGGAAAACTGTGTGGAGGTTCCTCAAAGAGTTAAAAATAGACCTGCCCTATGACCCAGCAATTGCTCTGTTAGGGATTTACCCCAAAGATTCAGATGCAATGAAACGCCGGGACACCTGCACCCCGATGTTTCTAGCAGCCATGTCCACAATAGCCAAACTGTGGAAGGAGCCTCGGTGTCCATCGAAAGATGAATGGATAAAGAAGATGTGGTTTATGTATACAATGGAATATTACTCAGCTATTAGAAACGACAAATACCCACCATTTGCTTCAACGTGGATGGAACTGGAGGGTATTATGCTGAGTGAAATAAGTCAGTCGGAGAAAGACAAACAGTGTATGTTCTCATTCATTTGGGGAATATGAATAATAGTGAAAGGGAATATAAGGGAAGGGAGAAGAAATGTGTGGGAAATATCAGAAAGGGACACAGAACATAAAGACTCCTAACTCTGGGAAACGAACTAGGGGTGGTGGAGGGGGAGGAGGGCGGGGGGTGGGAGTGAATGGGTGACGGGCACTGAGGGGGACACTTGACGGGATGAGCACTGGGTGTTATTCTGTATGTTGGTAAATTGAACACCAATAAAAATAAATTTATTAAAAAAAAAAAAGAATTGGGGCATGGTAGTAAAAGATGCCAGCACAAAAAAAAAAAAAAAAAAAAAAAAAAGATGCCAGCACAGACTCTGGCCTGGAGAGTCCTTTACTTTCTTCATGTATATCTGCTCTTTCTGAGAGGATACCAGTATACTTGTCAGCTTATTTATATGAAATATGACTGCTACATGCTGTGTAGCCAAAAGAAACAATTGGTGATGCTGGGATAGGATTTTGGGAATGAAGATCTGTAGCTTGCAATACTGGGCAGTTTAAAGGATTTCAGGTCCAGAGTTCTAGTTGTGTGTGAGGCTCAGTAAGTTGTGAGAATGTCCCCTGCCCTTTCTAACTTGCAAGTCTCTACATCTAAACTGGGATTAATATTATTTGCTCACAACTTTCTCAGGGTAGCTTTGATGTTGGGATGGTGCTGTCAGTTCCTTACTCCAGGGAATACTTCAACTTTATATCTGTAAAGCTGTGCTGAGTGTGTGATAGAGGAGTCAGTAAATGTTCATTGAATTAATGAACTAAAACAAAATTCTTTATTATGAGAATTTTAAACATATACAAAAAGAGAATTCTATAATGAACCCTCATCTCTTTCTGTCTTAACACTTGTAACTCTAGAAAGTAAGAACATGTTCTTTTTTACCAGATGTGATCATACCTAGCAAAATTATTTATCTCTAATACCATTAAATAGTCCTCTCATGTTCGTGTCCTCAGTTGAATTAAAATATATACATGCATGTTTTTACAGTTGGTTTGTTCAAATCCAATCCACACAGTCCACTCATTGCATTTATTTACTATGATTCTTGGTTTCTTTTAATCAAGAACATCTCCCCCTCCTCCCCTTTTTTATGCCATTAACTTTTTGGAAAAACTGGCTAGTTGGTAATGTACCAGTGTTTAATTGCTTCCCAGTGATGGTGTTTAGCTTATTTCCCTATTCCTTACATTTCTTATAAACTAGAAATGAGACCTACTATCAACAGATGAATGGATAAAGAAGATGTGTATACAGGCACATACATGCACACTGGAATATTACTGAGCCATTAAAAATAAGGAAATCTTGCCATTTGCAATAAAGTGGATGGAACTAGAGGGTATTATGCTAAGCCGCGAAATAAGTCCGTCAGAGAAAGACAAATACCATACAATTTCCTCGTGGAATTTAAGAAAACATGAACAGAGGGGAAGTGAAGGAAAAATAAAAACAGGGAGGCAAACCATAAGAGACTTGGCTATAGGGAAGAAACTGAGGGTCGCTGGAGGGGGAGGTGAGTGGGGAGATGGGGTAATAACCAAGTGATGAGAATTAAGGAGGGCATTTCATGTAATGAGCACTGGGTGTTATATATGCAAATCACTAGTCACTAAATTCTCCTGAAACTAGTGATGTGCTATATGTTAAATAAATAGAATTTAAATAAAAATTTTAAAAAACGTAATGAGACCTTGCAGCTCTTTGGCAAGAATACTTTGTAGATGCGCTGTATACTTCCTGTGTGTATCATGTAGGAGACACATAATGTTTTCCTGATGCCAGACTTGACTGCTGCCTTCAAGTGTGGCAGCATGAGTTGTCCATTGTTCATCATCAACCGTTCTTGTCATGATCTTATTAGCATCCATGATTATTGTCAGAGTGAATGAGCTTGGGAACTGTGAAGTGCTAAATATGTATGGAGGTATCTTGAGGTACAATTATAATTACTAATGAAGGAGAGCAGGAGCTTTATTTGAGCTGAATCATTAGTGGAATGATATCCAAGAGGCATAGCTGTAGACAGTAATGATGTCCAAATTAGGGACTAGATTTAACAATGAGAATAATGTATATGGTACAGAAAGAACGAACATTTGTTCCTCCTACAGATTTAGAGCTTGTCTCATAACATTGAATCCTATAAAACTAATAGCTTTAAACGATTTTTTTAATAAAGATTCTCAAACCATTTTGTGTCTAGATTAGGAATTAATGTGATTTTGAGACCTCATTAATACAAATACAGTTGATACAAAAAGATTCCAAATGACAAAAGGAATTTGGATACATCTTTGGAGCTCTCTGGGTAAGTGGAAGTTAAATGTCAGATACAGTTAACTATAATTTTTGTTTAGTTGTTTCTGTTGGGAGAAAATAGTGTTCTATTTTATGTGATTCATAATGAATCCACTTGTAGAAATTATCATTGAACCCAAACATTGGGAAATAAAATCAAAACAACGTGAACATTTGGAAAATATTGTTGGTTTCTTCTTGTTATGCCTGTTAAAATGATACTGTAAGACAAATATTTAATATTTATTTAACTTATTTTATTTAAATTCAGTTAGTTAACATATAGTTTATCATTAGTTCCCGATGTAGAATTCAGTAGTTCATCCGTTGCATATAACAACCAGTGCTGATAACGTCGTGTGCCCTCCTTAATGTCCATCACCCAGTTACTGCCACCCAATACTTCATATTTAGAGCAGGCTAGAGGACAGTGCCATGTTCGTGAAATCAGTATGATCTCTACAGAATCAAACTTGATCATGATTTTGAAAAACTGGAGTGTTTTTAGGTGGACTATGGAACATATTACCTGGGGACCTACTAATGTACTTTTTTCTTCAATAGGAAAATAAAAAGTATTTCAAGCGTAGTGAACTTGCGAAAAAAGAAGAGGAAGCCTATTTTGAAAGATGTGGCTACAAGGTATGAGTGCTTGCTTTTCTGTTTCATTGTACATTTCTGAGTTTACATTTTTACTGCTGTTAAAGTGACAAAATTATTGATCTCTGTTCAATTTATCAATATTATACATTAGCCTATAAATGAGAAGCCATCTGGAGAGGTATGAGCTTTTTTTCTTTTTTCTTTTTTTTAAATCTTGAATTCAGGAAAATCCATGCATGACTTTTGGCTTGGAATGGTTTGGCTTTTGTGGTCAGCATGAAGTGGCTTGAGATTAAAGCTTGATTTTTTTTTTTAATTTTAATTCCTGGATCTGATACTGCCTCATCTTCATCACCACCACCATTCCTCTCCCTACCTCTCCCAATAAAAGTCTGTTTTAAGAGGTTTCAATTATTTTATTCATTCAGCCACAGTGGTATTACTAGTGGTATTTCCCCTCTTCCACTTGAATATTTTAAACCATTACTTTTATTTGGCATTGCTAATAAATTCCTTTTGGTCCCAAGTACCTCTCTCTGCCTGAGATAGAATGCGATACAGTATTTATATGCTTTTGAGTAATAAGGTACCACATATCAGATGCTGCTTTGTCTACTGTTAGAAAATGTATAGAAATATTTGTTAGAAACAAATGAGTTGTCTGGAAGACTGTATATTTTAGAACCATGACTAAAAGTATCCTTGAGGTTACCCTGTTATTATCTTACTCAACTATTATCATGGTTGAACAATATATGGGGTTTTTATTGGGAGGGATTAAATGTTATGAGGTGAAGTTGAAATTATTTTAAAAGAAGACTGTATCTAGTTTGATAATTTTTGAAACAAAATTCAGAGGTTCTGTTGAATACTTTTTTGCCAGATTGTAAATTTGACATCAACTTTTTGCTTGTGAAACATGTATAATATGATAATCTTGTGCATGTAATGGGAGAATTCTAGAAATTATCTGGCATAGCATTTCTAGAAGCATGAGGAATGTATGTGCATTTGGTTTGGTTTTGTAGTGTTGGCAGAGGGCAAGTATTGGAAATGGAGTTTTATGTTTCTGATTTCTAAAATACAAAAGTTTGTATTTGTATTTTGATATTTTTTCATAAATATATTGATTTCATTTGCTTCCAGTTTAGGAAATTAAAACACAATTTATGTAAATAGCCGTCGAATAGCTACTCAGAAGAATTTTCATCTTTTGCTTGCCCATCGTTGTCTAACTTACACTTGATCTGGAATGAGAATCCTTGACTATGGGCTTAGTCTGCTGACTTGTTGCTTTCCCAGATCTCTAAATTTGAACCTTTTCAACTTTATGGTAAGGTAGGAAAATAACTTAAAACAGGGGCAGCTTTGCTTTGTTTAGATTGCTTCAGTGATATGTCAGTACTTTCTTGCTTAGATAGAAGCACTGAAGCAGAATAACTACAGTTAAAGATACTGCTTGTAACATTGAGTCCTGCTGACAAAATGTCTTAGATCTTTTCCTAAAAGTGATTAACTGGCATTCTATAATTAAAAATGTTTTTCATCCTGAGGTTTTTGGGGAAATACCCGTTTTTATGCTTAAAAAGAAAGCTCAGGGTTTTCTTTCTAAAATGTGTTTAATATTTCCTTCTTGGGGATCCCTGGGTGGTGCAGCGGTTTGGCGCCTGCCTTTGGCCCAGAGCGCAATCCTGGAGACCCGGGATCGAATCCCACGTCAGGTTCCCGGTGCATGGAGCCTGCTTCTCCCTCTGCCTGTGTCTCTGCCTCTCTCTCTCCCTCTGTGACTATCATAAATAAATAAAAAAAATTTTTAAAAAAGAGAAAATTTAAAAAATTAAAAAAAAATATTTCCTTCTTGGTAATAATGAAAATACAGCATGTATTACCTTTATTCCTTAATGAAATATAGTTACCATTTATGTGGATTGATGCTGATTTGGTTTGTGAACGTACAGTTTAGTTTTTTGTTTGTTTTTAAGATTTTATTTATTTATTCATGAGAGACACAGAGAGAGAGAGGCAGAGACACAGGCAGAAGGAGAAGCAGGCCCCATTGAAGGGAGCCTGATGTGGGACTTGATCCCTGGACTCCAGGATCAGGCCCTGGGCCAAAGGCAGGCGCTAAACCACTGAGCCACCCAGGAATCCCGAGTTTTTTACTTCAATTTTCTGTCAGCACTGGTAACACTGGTTAACATAACCTTTAGCCATTAACTACAGAATCAGAAATAATAGCATTTTAACCATGTAGTCTGTCTTTCTTTCTTTCTTTCTTTCTTTCTTTCTTTCTTTCTTTCTTTCTTTCTTTCCTTTCTTTCTTTTCTTTTCTTTCTTTCTTTCTTTCTTTCTTTCTTTCTTTCTTTCTTTCTTTCTTTCTTTCTTCTTTCTTTCTTTCTTTCTTTCTTTCTTTCTTTCTTTCTTTCTTTCTTTCTTTCTTTCTTTCTAAGATTTATGTATTTATTCATGAGAGACACAGAAAGAGAGGCAAAGACATAGAGGGAGAAGCAGGCTCCCTGCGGGGAACGCAGTGCAGGACTTGATCCCAGGACCCCGGGATCAGGACCTGAGCCAAAGGCAGACACTCAACCTCTGAGCCACCCAGGTGCCCCAACCATGTCGCCTTTCTTAATGGAATGTTTTTTCCTTCATGTTGGCCTTTTTTTTTTTTTTAGATCTTTTTTTTTTTAATTTTTATTTATTTATGATAGTCACAGAGAGAGAGAGAGAGAGAGAGAGAGAGAGGCAGAGACACAGGCAGAGGGAGAAGCAGGCTCCATGCACCGGGAGCCCGACGTGGGATTCAATCCCGGGTCTCCAGGATCGTGCCCTGGGCCAAAGGCAGGCACCAAACCGATGCACCACCCAGGGATCCCTCATGTTGGCCTTTTATGTGTTTTTTTTTTTTTTATCTTTTTTTGGCATTTTAGATTAGTCTCATGATCAGATGGGAAACCATGTTTCAGTATGTTTTTCCAGACCATGCACACCTTATACATTGCTGAACTTAATTTTCCTAAACTGTGAGCTGGGCAGCAGACTCAAGAAAACACATGGAGAGATTTTAATTTTCCCCCTGCAGGTCCTTTTCTATTGAAATGTGTACTCTGTGTCGCATGAGTAGAAAGGTTGCCATTGTCAGGTTGTGGTGCTGTTATTTCCCCCCCGGGGTCCATAGCTCAGTCTGGGGGCAAATTCTCCATACCTTTGGAGCGTTTCTACATGTCCAGCAGTGATTTTGGTGCACTTGGAATCCTGCCTTTCAAAAAGGAGGGCAGGATAAAGCAGGAGCCTGAGGCTTCACAGGTTTCTTGGAGAGCAGTTTTTTGGGTTTTTTTTTGTTTTTTGTTTTTTTTGTCTTCGTTTATAACCCACGGCTTATTGGATCATTTAAAACAGGATCAGAGAAGCCTGTAAGATGATTTTTTCAAAGAGAAGCAAGTTGATTGTTTTTAAGAAAATAAAATTCTTTATACTCTAGGGAGAAAGGACTCTGAGTTTCAGCCCTTTTAAAAGTTTTTGATTTTGTAAACCATTATATTTCTGTCATTTTTTAGTAGCAAGAATGCAGTCTCCTGTGTGCATGTTTGCTCCTGTGTCCCTGAAATGGAGAAGTTTGATGAGCTTTCAAAAGCATGTACATTTATTGGGACCTTTTTCCTTGGTGGTACATTTAGAAAACCTTCAATATTTAAAACATGTTTAATTTCCAAGACCAGTTAATGCACAGAATGATAAATATTAGCTGTATTATTATGTTTTAAAAGCTGAATAATAGGATTTCTTTTGGCTATTAATACAGATACAGCCAAAAGAAGAGGACCAGAAACCATTAACTTCTTCGAATCCAGTGCTAGAACTTGAACTGGCAGAGGAAAAGTTACCCATGACTCTTTCCAGGCAAGAGGTAAGTTTGTCTATGAGCATTCTATGAAAAAACCATCTCAAGAGCATTTATCTCCAGTTCTTTCCAGTAAGTTTTATGTCATTATTGCCTCTATAATATGTCTGGTTGAACTGAAATATTGAGCAGCTAGCCAGTTTTCTTCATGAGGTTCTGAATTAATCTCTGCTTTTCTTGATACCCTTAAACTTTTAAAAGAATATATTTTTCTAAAAAAAAAATATATATATATATGTATATATGTATATATTTTTCTAGGGATGCCTGGGTAGCTCAGCAATTGAGTGTCTGCCTTTGGCCTACGCCGTGATCCCCGCGTCCGGGAATGAGTCCTGCATTAGGCTCTCCGCAGGGAGCCTGCTTCTCCCTTGGCCTGTGCTCTCTGCCTCTCTCTGTGTTGTCCCTCATGAATAAGTAAAATATTTTAGAAATGTGTGTGTGTGTGTGTGTATATATACACACACACACACACACACATTTTTAAACCTTAAAAGGTAAACACATTGTTCTAAAATATATATTTGAAGAAATCATACTTATTTTTCAAAATTATTTTAAATATACATTTTGTAACTTTTAATATCTCTTTCTAGGTCAAAACAGAGATCTGTATAATTTTTATGACTATGTAATTTCCTGTAATTTTTTTTTAAATTTTTATTTATTTATGATAGTCACACGGGGGGAGGGGGAGAGAGAGAGAGAGAGAGAGAGAGAGAGAGAGAGAGAGAGAGAGGCAGAGACACAGGCAGAGGGAGAAGCAGGCTCCATGCACCGGGAGCCCAACGTGGGATTCGATCCCGGGTCTCCAGGATCGCGCCCTGGGCCAAAGACAGGCACCAAACCGCTGCGCCACCCAGGGATCCCTCCTGTTATATTTTAAAAACATTATTTTAAAAACCAGAGAGTAGTGATCGTTTTGATTGCTTCAGCATTTCCCTAATATAAATAAATCGTAGGTAAGATAAACATCTTTATACAGATGTCATTGCATGCATACTAATGTATGATTGTTCCTTTTGGACAAGTTGCGGGAACCATGATTCTGGAGTCTGGTGACTAAAGACTGTACATTTCTGTGGCTTGGGATACATATCATCACAGAGCTCTGTAGACCTATTGTACCAGTTTGTACTACAGTGCTTGTCTATACTCTGGTCAGTATCAACTGTTACTTTTCTTAAAAAGCCAAAACAAAAATTTAAAGATACTCATGTGACATAGAGAATGCAAACTATACAGAGGGTCACAAAACAAAAATGAACTTTGAACAAAAGGAAAGGGAGGAAAGGACAGAGGACTCTTAAGTGCTGTCCTGTGAAAATTAGAGGAAGGAATCTGAAATACCTAGCTTGAAGAGAAGAATATTAGACCTAAAAAAAAAAATCCATTGACAATAGCTGTAATCTTGAACAAGAATTTCGTATTCTTGAAGTTTCATAAAGTAGAAGATAAATTGGTAGAGTTTGGAGGGACGGAGTTTTTAGTTTATTCTGAGAAGTAAAACCTATCTGCCCCAAAATGGGATGGGTTGTTGCATGAAGAGATGTGGTCCCTGTCATTTGTTAGTTGGGCACCTGGTAGAGGTGTTTTGAGGTCATTTCAACATTGATGGGCCTTAGCACTGGATGACCTCTTAAGTTGCTTTTTGAATACCAAGCTTTGGGTAACTCAGTAGGAGTTCTACCAGTGGTTTCTGTGCTACTGTTTATGTTTCCAGAAAAAGTTCTTGTACTTACAAAAAATTTTTTTGAATCAACTTGATTTTTTGCTGTTACAATTTTTTTCTTTTTATGAAATGGATTTTGTTGTTGTTATATTATTTTTATCTTTATTATTCCCTGCTGTCTTGGAACTGGTGATTTAGTTGAGCAGACTGAGGCCAGGCCACTCCCTTAGCCATCTGAGGTATTTGGCTCCTCTCAGAAGGGCTTTCTGAAGCCCAGTCCCACTTGGAGAAGCCTCTGGTTTGTCTTTTATAGTCCAGGTGGTTAGACAGAAAGTCCTCAGAACTGAGATGATTGCTGACCTGTTTCCATTGGGAAGGCTCAGTGGACAGGATGGGCTGAGGGGATGAACGGAGTAGAGGGTAGGATTTTACCCCTGTATATACCCCTGTATATACATATACATTTGTACATGTATAGGAAGAATGTACAAAACATGCATGTGCAATATAATGGATGATTATTTAAAAACACCCATATAACCAATACCCAAGTCAAGAAATGGTATTATCAGCCCCTCAAAAGCCTGACACGTGCCCTGTCCTGATCACTTCTCTTCTGAGGGATGTTTGGTTTTAATGTAGTATTGCAGTGCTGACTCTAGGCTATGGTTAGTGAGTTATCAGCTTGACTCCAGACTTTATTTTTCTTCTGTATATAAAAGTTTTCCCTCCCTTCCGTCTTAATGTTTCTCTTAGGTATTCTGTTATTCAGATGGAGCCTTTGCTGAAACAGCCAAAGAACCTGGACATGTTAGGGTTTTTTAAGGTGTGACAATAACTCACTATATCCATTTTTGGAAAATTAAAAAACAAACCCAACTGACTTTTTCTATCTACATTTCAAAATAAGTATTTGGTCACCTAAAAGAGGAATTACTATTACTAAAAACAGGAGTTACTGTTATTATTATTTCTTCTTACAGGTTATCAGAAGATTGAGAGAAAGAGGAGAACCCATCAGACTATTTGGAGAAACTGATTATGATGCTTTTCAACGTTTAAGAAAAATCGAGATCCTCACACCAGAAGTTAACAAGGTAAGAAGTCAGAACAAAACTTGAGAAATACCACTGTACCAATAAACTAGAAGAGTATGGAGTTGGAGTAATTGCATTATTATAGGCAAAGATGGAAATATAAAGTTTGCCAGATTACCACTGCTGAATGTAAGTTTTCTTTAATTTTTTTTAGAAGGCACCTATTTTGGGGCACTTGGGTGGCTCAGTCAGTTAAGGGTCTGCCTTTGGCTCAGGTCATGATCCTGGGATTGAGCCCTGCATGGGCTCCCTGCTCCACAGGGAATCTGCTTCTCCCTCCCCCTGTTCTTGTGCTCTCTGTTTCACCCTTCCCCCACCCCCTCTCTCTCCCCAACTCTCAAATAAATAAATAACGTCTTAAAAAATAATAATAAAAAGCGCCTATGTTAAGCATACATATAGTTCAGCGCATTTTGACAAATCCACTGAGTATGTAACCACCACCCTTGGGAAGATAAAGAATGTTTTCATCACACAAGAAGGTGCCCAGTGCCCCTTCTTAGCTAGTCCTTTTCCTTTTGAATGCCTGTGCAAACACATTTCAAAATTCTTATCACTGTAGATTAATTTTGCTTGTTCTGCATTTCATATAAATGGAGTCATGAGAGTCTGTCTGGCTTCTTCTGCTGAGCTTATTTTCAAAATGCATTGTTTCTGCAGAAATCAGTAGTTCCTTTTTGCTGCTGCTGATAGTTGAATATACTACCATTTGTTTTCAACTTTGGGCTGTTATGAATAACACTGCTATGAACATTTGTAAATGTGTTCTATCTCTTAGTAAAAACCTAGAAATAGAATTGCTGAATAGTAAGAGTAAATGTATGCTTTAGTTTTTAAGAAATGCTGAATATTTCCAAATGTTATCAGCATTGTTATTTGAAGTCTTTTAAATTGTAACCATTCTTTTGTATGTGTAGTAGTACTTCATTGTGGTTCTCTTTACAGCTCTCTGTTCACTAAAGGTAATGAGCATCTTTTTTTTTTTTTCAAACTGTATCCAGCTTTATTAAAGATACTTTTCATAAACAATCATGGTATTTCAGGCAGGACATGGGCGGACGATCGTTAACAGTATACAACAACTTTCAAACTCCCTTCTTCAATGGACTACCAAAATCAGAAAGCCACTATAAAACCCAATGAAGTCTTCATGTGATGCTCTGAACAGGGAAAGTTTAGAGTGAGGGTTGACAGTTCACATTTAGCATGTTGTTTAACAACTTTTCACAAGCCGACCCTGACTTTCAGGAAATGAAATGAAAATGGCAGAATTATCAATCCGAAGATCCACAAGCTAAAAAAAGGAACTCTTTTGAGGGACGCCATCTCAGTGGTGACACCGTAAAGTCCAGATTGCCTGACATACTGGGAACCATTTCATGGGATCAGGTTCCAACAGGTCTCTGGGTTTAAGGGAGTCAAGTCTATGTTGAAGGCAGAGAGGGAGAAGAGGACATAAAAAAATGAATTTTAGTTTTTCCACACCACTAAGGTGGCTCATGTGTGTCAACATCAAGGAATCCCTCCTCCTGGGAGCCAAGAGGAAGTTTCTCAAAACCAGAAGGGGAAGGTGTTTTTCCCTCTTGTTATCAATCTAGCTTCGGAGATATTCTATTAGTGACATATGCCCTTCCCCCAAAACAACAATGAAGTGTTCCGTGTGCTAACAACATAGCTTAAAAAAAAAAAGTAAAACAAAATTCTGCATTTTTATAAAACTTGATAAAAAATAGTATTTCAAACTGTACAGTCACCAGAAGTACACAGTTATCAAAAATGCACACACTTCACTTGGCATCTCCAGCACCTTCAGCTTTCTGTGCCTGGTCTGTTTTGGCATCTCCATTTTCTGCAGGGTTATTTCCATCCTTGCCAGCATCAGCTTTCCCCTTTTTCCCTTTGGGTACCTTCTCTCCCTTCTTTGCAGGGGCCTTTTTAGGCTTGGGCTCTGGCTTTGGAGGAGCAGGTTTAGCATATAACCTTGCAGATCTTCTCTGTGGCTCATCCTTCACCTTGGCTTTATCTCCTTTAGCATCCCCTTCGGCCTTTCTCTTGGGCATGATGGCGACGGCAGCGGGACGTAAGTGCTGGACGCGGGGATGCGGCGGCACGCGGGCTTTGGCTGGTCCAGGGGTCGTTCTCGCCTCTTCTTCTTCACACTGCTCCAATGAGCATCTTTTCATAGACTTTATTGCCCATATATTTTTCTGGGCAGTGTGTGTTAAAATCTTTTGTTCATGTTTTAATTGGGTTGTTTGCCCTTTTACTTTTGAACTGTAGGAGTTCTTTCTATATTCTGAATACAAGTCCTTTGTCAGATATATAGCTATATGTTTGTGACGATTTTTTGATAGTCTTTGGCTTACCTGTTCTTTTCATGTTGTCTTCTGGTTGGGCAGACATTTTAAATTTTGATGAAGTCAATTTCTTTTTTATGGTTATTGCTTTTGGTGTTTTTTGTAAGAATTATTTCCCTATCCTAAGGTTTGGAAGAGATACTCTATTTTCTCTAAAAGCTTAAGAGTTCTAGTTTTTTAGGACTCTGATCTGGTCTTAAATAGCTCAGCATATGGTCTGGCTTGGTGAATATTCCATGGGCTCCTGAAAAGAAAGTCTTTTATATGTTGGGTAAATGTCAGCTATGGTAGTGTTCAGATCTTCCGTGGGCTTAGTAAGAGGCCTGAGAGACAGGTGTGGTGATCTATGGCTATGTAACAAACCACCCCAAAACTGAGTAGCTTCACACAATTTATAAAATATTTTTTGGTCCTCAGAGTTTGTAACAAACCACCCTGATACTTAGTAACTTAAGATAATTTATTATCTGTTACGGTTCTGTAGTTTGGGGGTAAACTGGGAAGTTTTTTTGCTTGGAGTCTTGCATGTGATTGCAGTTAGATGTGGACTGTGGCCAAGGTCCACTGAAGACTCCCTTGGACTGGCCTTCCAACTGCATAGTACCTTAGAGGTTTATCAATGTGACAGTGTATGTCAGAATCTCCTCTTTATTTTTTATTTATTTATTTTTAAAATTTCCTTCCTTTTTAAAGCTGAAAAATACTCTCTTGTATATATGGATCCCATTTTGTTGATCTTTTTAGCTTCAATGGACATTTGAGTTGTTTCTGCCTTTCAGCTATTGTGAATAATGCTGCTTTGAACACAGGTTTACAAATACTTGTTGGAGTCCCTGTTTTCACTTCTTTGATGTATACCCAGATGTAGAATTGGTGGATCATATAGTCATTCTCTCTTTTAAGCATAAATGAATTTCAAAAATGTTCTTCCATTGTAATGTTTACAGCAATTTTTAAAAAATTCTTCAGTCCTGTTTAAAACCATAACTTAAATTCTTAGTGGTTTTTGTAATGCTTCATTGTATCAACATTTACTTCTTTTCTATATCATAGTTCCTTTTTTTTATCAAGAGATAGTAATAAAATACTAATGTGAACTGTTAATATGTGATTCAATGTTTCTACTAGTCATGTTTTATTCCTTGAAAAATTTTCTAGCTATTAATTTATTACAACCTGCTGCATTTTAATCTTGCTCAAGCTTGTCCCAGATACCAAAGAGTTTCTTATTTGTAAATTTTTTAAAAATTGAGGTGTAATTGACATACTGCGTTAGTGATCTGATATTTGTGTATATTGTGAAATGCTTATCACAATAAGTGAAGTTAATATCTGTCACTATACATGGTTACAATTTTTTTTCTTGTGATCTTACTTTAAGATCTATCCTTACCAACTTTTAAGTAGGCCATACAGTATTAACAGTAGTCACCATCCTGTGTATCCCTGTGACTTCCTGTGACTTAGTTTATAATTGGAACAGACTATTTTAAAATAACTTAAGTGTGAATGCATTCTAAGCTCTACATATTTACTACTTTTGCACATCTTATGTTTTTGATGTCACATTTTACATATTTTTCTTGTGTATCCTTTAATTATTGTAATCAGTTATTTTTACTACATTTATCTTCTAAGTGATTAATCTACTACCTTTACTATATATTTACCTATTCCAGTGAGATTTATACTTTCATATGTTGTTACTAATTAGCACCCTTTTCAGCTTAAAAAAGGTCCCTTAACATTCTTTGTAAGGCTGGTTTAGTGGTGATGAAGTCGCTTAGTTTTGCTTGTCTGAGAGACTCTCTTCTCTCTCCTCCAATTCTGAATGATGACTTTGTGACATAGAGTATTCTTGGCTGGAAGATTTTTCTTGCAGCACTTTGAATATACTATGCACTACCCTCTTTTATCCTGCAAGATTTCTGCTGAAAAATCTGCTGATAGTCTTATGGGAGTGCCTTTGTACACAAGTGGCTTCTATTTTGTTACTTTTAATATTCACTCCTTGTCTTTACCTTTTGATATTTTAATTAGAATGTGTCTTGATGTGGGCACATGTAACTTTTTGAGGTGATTGCCATACATTTTCACAACAACTGCACTATTTTGTATTTCTAGCACTGAAGGAGTCCATTTCTCCATATCCTGGCTATCACTGCTTATTTTGATCGTAGCCATCCTTGATGGGTTTGAAGTGGTCTCTTACTGCGTGCATGCTTTTTTTTTGGTGTGTGTGTGTGTGTGTGTGTTTTAAGATTTTCTTCATTTGAGAGGGAGGAGGAGGAGCAGGGGGGAGGGACAGAGGGAGGAGAAGCAGGACCCCTGCTGAGCAGAGAGCTCAGTGATGCAGGGCCCAATCTCAGGACCCCAGGATCATGACCTGAGCCACCCAGGTGCCCTCTTATTGTGGTTTTGATTTGCATTTCCCTAATAACTGGTGATGTTAAGCATCTTTTCATTTGCTTATTGGCCTTTTACACGTGGTCCTCTATTCAAGACCTTTGCCCATTTTTAGTGAAGTTTGTTGTTATAACAGTTCTTTATATATTCTGTATATCAGTCGTTATCATATTAGTGACTTTTAAGTATTTTTCCCATTCCACAGGTTATCTTTTCACTCTTGGGTAGTATCTTTGCAGAAAAGTTCTTAATTTTGACGAAGCCCAACTTATCTATTTTTTGTTTTGTTTTGGGTTTTTTTTTTTTTTTTGCCTGTGCCTTGGTGTTGTGTCCAAGAAATGATGGCCAGATCCAGTATCATGAAGCTTTTCCCATGTGTAGTCTTCTGAGGGTTTTATTGTTTTAGCTCTTAAATGTACATCTTTGAGCCTTTTTGAGTTAGTTTTGTATGTGGTGTAAAGTATGGGTCCAGCTTTAAGGCTGCTTCTCTTTTTATCAAATGGACACAAACTGGATTTGAATAGAAAGTGGAATTTGCTGGTTTATTAGAAATCTAGGGGATCCCTGGGTGGCGCAGCAGTTTTAGCACCTGCCTTTGGCCCAGGGCGCGATCCTGGAGACCCAGGATCGAATCCCACATCGGGCTCCCGGTGAATGGAGCCTGCTTCTCCCTCTGCCTATGTCTCTGCCTCTCTCTCTCTCTCTCTCTCTCTCTGTGACTATCATAAATAAATAAAAATTAAAAAAAAAAATCTAGTGAAAGCCTAGGATGTAGATGAGACACCCGTTTCTTACTATTGACTTTGCTGAATGTTAAAGGAATTCAGAGTAGTTGTGGTGAGGTTAGACATTTTAAGTAAACTGGGAAAATGAGTTGAGGGCTCTGGTGGATCCCTGGTCACTTGCACTAGACCGAATTAGAAAATTCCAGCATTTAGGAATATTCTCATTTGGATCACACACATGCTTTGGTTTTCTGAACATAGTAGCTATTGTGTATACATTCTTTTAAATCTATTCATTATAATTTTGACTGGACAGTGATGATAGCTGCATAATAAATTGAAATCTTACTGGAGTCTCTAGTTTTTCTAAGCACTTAATTCCTTTATAGAAGAAAAAAATGAATTGTACTTATTAGTAGTGAAAAATCTTAAGGGGAACATCAGTGAAATTTCATAGTAGTTGTATTTTTTCTCCTTTCTCAGGGGTTGAGGAATGATCTGAAAGCAGCTCTGGATAAGATTGACCAGCAGTACCTCAATGAGCTTGTGGGGGGTCAGGAACCCGGAGAGGAAGACACACAGAATGACTTGAAAGTTCATGAAGAAAACACCACAATTGAAGAGTTAGAGGTAATCTCTATACCCACCTGATCTCCTTACCCCATCACATCTTTCATTCCCTGGGGCAGATGCTTGAGTTCACCAGATGGTTCAGTTTAGAGCACACTACTGTGATCTGTGGGCATTACCAAGGCCTTTTTTTTAATTTCATGTTTTTACTTATTCACTCCCTTTTTCCTCATTCTTCACTCATACTACCTTCCATCCTTCCCTCAAAAGTAATTATTCTGGTATGTTTGTGCGTCCTTTTATTTGTTGGTGATCTTGTAAAACCAGTAGTATTTTGTATGCTTGTGTTGTTAATAGACATAAATGATATTATGAAATTCTTCTTTCTTTTGTTTTTTTAATTTTATGTTTCTTTTGTCTGCTTGGCACTGTATCTAAGATTCATCCTTGATGCTTTTTGTATATCTGAACGTGCGGTCTTAACTGGTACATAGCATTTCATACTTTGTGGCATGCACTGCCTTTTACTCTCTATTCCCTTGTAGTGAGAGCTGGGCTGCTCCCAGCTCCTTATTGCCACGCACAACTTTGTTATGAACAATCTTGTACGTAACCCCTGCGGACTCAGAAGCCGGATGGCTGATTTATATGTATGTGACTTGTCCAAGTACTGTTATGTTGCTCTCTAGACTGGCTGTACCAGTCTACATCCCTGTCAGCCGTGCATGTGTGCCTTTTATTCCCACATCACTGCCAACAGTTGGCAGTATCTTGCTTTCTCATTTTGCCAGTGTGTTGAACATGGAGTGATACATGTAATCATAATTAAAAAACAGTGTTGTACTGTCTAAATATCTACCTCAAGCACAAATTAATGGCTTAGTTGAAAGCTTCTTCTTAAGAAAACCTAAACTGTTACTGTTATTTTTCTGTTTCTTTTCATTCCTGGCTGCACTGTCCATGAGATCACAATTGTTTTAATTGTGCTCCTCCTCCCACCTCACCAGCACCTATATGTGGACCCTAAATTTGACAAAAATAGTGTGAGCAACCACTTCGGGGCTTTTATTTTTCCTTTTTTTTTTTTTTTTTTTTTTAAGGATTTTATTTACTTATTCATGAAAGATACAGAGAGAGTCAGAGACAGGAGAAGCAGACTCCATGCAAGGAGCCCGATAAGGGCCTCGATCTGTAACCCCAGGATCATGCTCTGAGTCGAAGGCAGATGCTCAACTGCTGAGCCACCCAGGCATCCCATGGGCTTTCGTTTTTCTTAAATAGCCTTATTGAGATACTCACTTATTTGACAACTTACCCATTTAAAATATACAATTCACTGGTTTTTAGTATATTTGCAGGTTGATGCTCATCATCATGACCTAATTCTAGGACAGTTTTTTTCTCTTGAAATCTATCCATTAGTTCCCTAAGCCTCTGTTTTTTGTCTTTTGATTCATAGAAGATAATTTCTCTAAATCTTGATGACCAATTGGTGTTTTCTTATTTTTTTTAACTTATCTGGAAATTCTTTAGGGTTTTTTAAAAACAGAAACTAGTATATGTAATAAATATTCGTGTTCAGAATGGTGTTGAGAGTATTCAGCTGTTGCTCTTTACTAATGAACGGAAGCATTGTTTTTCTGTAGGCATTGGGTGAGTCTTTAGGAAAAGGCGATGATCATAAAGACATGGACATCATTACGAAGTTCCTTAAGGTATGTGATCTCAGAGTGGGAAAGGAGGGAGACATTTGAGTTGGTTCAGAACTGGTCTTTAATTTTTGGATGATGTAAGGATTAAGGACAGGATAGGGAATCCCTCAATAAGCATGCTTTGTGCATATACATGGTTCATGGTATTGCTGTGGACTGGTATATAGAGGTTACTCAAAGGAAACATATATTTACTTCACTGTAGCACTTTAAAACTGACTTGTTAATGTAAACATACAGAGAAGAATCACAGCAGTGGAATAAACAAGGAATGTGGGGAGTTGAAAAAAATTTTTAAAAAACCCTCCAGGAGGGAGTGCAGTGAGAGGAGAGTGTTCCAGAAGCTTTTATGAATGGTGATGACAGCGAGGAGAGGAAGGAGGTAGGGAGACCTTGGCAGTGGAAAAATGCAGACACATCAGCAACCTTTCAGAGACTGTTCATTTGCAGTTCTACAGATAGCTGCAGGTTCCTGCTCTGGTGAGCTCAGTCCATCTTTCTCAGCATTTCTTGCTTTACTTGGTTAGGTAGAGTGTGTGCAAATGCCAGATTCATTTTAGCATTTACTCACAAACCATGTGTGTTCAGGCCAAGAGATTTAAATGTAAGAAGTGCTTTCTACTTATTAACAGTTTGAATACAGCATATTAGTCATCAGGATCCTCAGTCTCTTGAGGATATGGCATGGAATTAGATAGGCTTAGGAACTAATATGAACTAGAATTTCCTCTCGGAGTGACAGCCTGTCCTTTATAGAGGCTACTTGTAGGTAATGCCACTAGGGGGGTATATGCTCTGCCAACTTCCCTGTTTACCTACTGATAGAATCCGTGCTCTTGATGCCTTTAAACCCTAGGGGCACCAGGGTAGTTTTCCAGGGCAGGGCGGAGGGGTTTCTTTTTTTTTTTTTTTTTAAGATTTTATTTATTTATTCATGATAGAGAGAGAGAGAGAGAGGGGCAGAGACACAGGCAGAGGGAGAAGCAGGCTCCATGCACCGGGAGCCCGACGTGGGACTCGATCCCGGGTCTCCAGGATCGCGCCCTGGGCCAAAGGCAGGCGCCAAACCACTGCGCCACCCAGGGATCCCTATAGTTTCTTTATTTCTGTTCTTTGTTTTCCTTCTTTCTCCTTTAGTCTGGTGCTTTAATGGTAGTATTTAATTGAATTATCATCTCTACTACAAAAATTGAAAGTCCAAATAGAGGCATACCCCATTTTATAGTGCTTGGTTTTATTGTGCTTTGCAGATAATGAAGTTTTCTTTGGTGTTTTTTTGTTGTTTTGGGTTTTTTGTTTTGTTGTTGTTGTTTTTCAAATTGATGGTTTGTGGCCATCACCTGTTGAACAGGTGTATCAGCACTTTTTTCAATAGCATTTGTTCACTTTGTGTCTCTCTGTTAAGTTTTCGTGATTCTTGCAATATTTCAAACCTTTTCATTATTACTGTGTTTGTGATGGTGAATTGTGATCACAGATTAGGACATGAAAACTCAGATGATGATGAACATGTTTTAGCAATCAAGTATTTTTTTAAGGGGAAGAGGGAGAGGAGGAGAGAGAATCTCAAGCAGGGGTTCCATGCCCAGCGCAGAGCTTGACACAGGGGCCTTCTCTCGTGACCCTGAGGTCGTGACCTGAGCTGAAATCCAGAGTCAGATGCTTAACTGACTGAGCTACCCAGGCAGGTGTTCCAACATAAAAGTATTTTTCAATTAACGTACATATATTGGTTTGTTGTGTTTTTTTTTTTTTTTGTTTTTAGACATAAAGCTATCATATACTTAATAGACTATATTATAGTATAAACATAACTTTAAATGCATTAGTAAACTAGAAAATTCATTTGATTCACTTTATTATGATACTTCATTAACACAGTGGTCTAGAACCAATCCTGTGGTATCTATGGGGTATGCCCCATATGTATTATAACAAATATGGTATTACAGTGAATAAATCTGGGTGGGTTGAATTTTAGTAGAAATACGAGTAAAAGTTTATTTCTGTTGAAAAATTACCTTTGGAATTTGATAGTTTTTGTTACGGGGAAATTGATTATCTTTGAGCTAGGAATATGTGTATATTCTACATATCTATGTAGAATAGGGAAGTTTGTGACTTGCCAAAGGCACTAAAAAACATACATGACAAAATAAGCAGGAATTGTTCATTAGTTAAATATTGATATTTTAATTAGAAAAAGAAATTTATTCTGAAGATAATATATTGTTCAGTATGTTAGAGAACTTTTAAACTTTTTGAACCACTGGGGGGCACTGTCGTCTAAATTTACCCATTCTTTCAACAGTTCCTCCTGGGTGTTTGGGCTAAAGAGTTGAATGCCAGAGAAGATTATGTGAAGCGCAGTGTACAGGGCAAACTGAACAGTGCTACTCAAAAACAGACTGAATCCTATCTCAGACCTCTTTTCAGAAAGCTACGGAAAAGGGTAAGTTTCCTTGAAAAATGCTTTTATTTAACTGAGTTTTTGAAAAACAGAGTATAAAAAATTAGAATAAATGCAGTCTGTAACCATACACAGCTTTCAAAAATATTTTTTTTTATTTTCCAGAATCTTCCTGCTGATATTAAAGAATCCATAACAGATATTATTAAATTCATGTTGCAGAGAGAATATGTGAAGGTACATTACCATGCTGTCCATCAGTATCACGATTATGAGATTATCTAGGTTGTGGTATATAATATGTTCATTTGATGTGGAAGTATTTTACACAGGAGCTTTAAAAATAAATGTGAAATGAATTAGTAAAAAAAAACAAACAAAAAAAACAAAAAACCTCAAACCTTTTATTTTCTAAATCATTGACAGCTTCATTATTAAGGCATTGAGAATAAACTTTCCTGACCACATTGGTTTTTTTAGTCATTTTTAAGGTAGGTGTAAAGATCTTCAGAGCATGAACTGGATATTGGCAATGTTCATTTCATGAATGGGATTGGATTTCAAAGATTGTTCAAGATTATGGCTTGGAACAAATTTTCCCATAGAAACAATGTTATGTAGATTAGTTTCCCAGGCCAGTTATAAAAGCCTACTTAATCCGTAATATAGCTAAACTATTGTACTAACGATACAATGGAATTTCACCACCCTTTATGCTTGTATGAGAAAATGTTCCAAGTAAGGTTGCCAGAATTTATCTCTCCTATTTCAGAACAGCAACAACAGCAGACCCCCTTGTTAGGGAAGACTTTTCCCTTTGCCTTTGGTGTCTTTAGTCCTGAATGGGCTCTAGGAGGTTGCAGCAGTGGGACGAGCTCCCGTGTCCCAGCACTCCTGGGTAGAGTTCAGAAAGGGGAGTGGAAGGCTGTCAGTTTGGTGCAGGGGAATGTAAAGAGAATGGCCTGCTGTACCAGTAGTGGGGCTTGGAAATGTGCCTGTGCGTCTGGCCCGTAAGCAGAGTCTGAAGAGGGAAGCTTCTAGTAGTAGTGGCTCTCAAGAGTATAGGACTAAGGAGCTGCAGTGCAGCTGTTCCACTGACCCTTCCAGAACAGTATATGGGGCTCTGCCAGAAAAGCAGGAGTGCCAGTGCTTATCCCTGTGCTCCTTTGAGTATCTGTACTTAAACAGAGGGTTAGCTGGCATTCCTGGGTTGACGGGAGCCTTGTGCTAATGAGGCTCAAGTAGTGATTTTACTTCCTCTGAGATCTAGTTAGCTTTGTCAGAGGAAATGTTTTTGTTTTACGCCATAAATTTTATTCTTGGGTAGTTTCTATTAGTTGCATGGTAACTTAGGAAAGACAGTTGCCTTGGAATAGGTAGATATGGTCACCATCTCACTGCAGAAAGATCAAGTCACTTGTCTACTAGCCAGCATGCCTTCCCTTTTGTTACTCTTTGCATTTTCATATTTGAGAAGCAAGTGAGTTTATTTTGTGTAAACTGCAGAAGAACCAAGAGACTTTAATAACCTATTTGGATAGCTTTCTCGAAAGATGTTTGGGGAAACTAAATATTGGAAATTTTATCAGTTAATATCCAGTGTTAAAATTGACACAAATCAGAATCTGTTATAAAAGTGTGTAATGTGCTCTTTTAAAATTAAGCTTTATAAAACCGAAGAGAGCAAATTCAAATTTGTCTTCAGGGTAGAAAATGATCTTCCAGGTAGCCTATTTGTAGTCCCTGATTTTTAAAATCAACTCTACATATCAATCACATAGGAATTTGATTTTTGAAATTAAAATCTCAAGACCTGACTGTATGAGCCTCTCCAAAGCTCTAGGGGTCTTTCAGAATTTACTTGAGTTCTCTTTTATTCTCCTTCTTTTCCCCTCATAGGTAGCCAGGGTTGGTTTAGAAAGAGAGCCATTTGTCTTGATTGGTTTCTGTTTTTTTACGTTTTGCAGCTTTTATTTTAAGGTTCTTGGCAGGTGAGGGGGGTAGAGGGGCCAAAGTGAAACGATCTCATCCTGTAACTATTCGACTCGAGGGTTAGTATTTAATCTCTGTTTACACATCTGCTGTGGACCCGGTGTGATAGTCCCAGCTCACAGAGCCCCTACTGCTTTCAGAGGCCTGCACTGCCGTGCGGGCAGTGGGTTTAGTCGGCAGTGGGTTTAGTCGCAGGTTGGATCGTGAAAAACCAGTTGGCCTCCATCTTGTACTTGTGACCACCTGTGGAGAAGACTGGGTCTAAAGGACACTGAACTAGAGTTTTTTTGTCAGTGCATCAGATTACCTACCTGGTAATTCCAGATCTGAAATGCATTAATTTCCAGCGCACAAAGGCTGCAAAGGAATGTTTGTCTTTTTACTCACAGGATTAGCTTTGGTTTCTGGTTTTCCACGTACATTTGTGGTCTGGGGCAGGGCAGTCTATCACCTCGTTATTTTAATTTCTTTTGTTTGATTAATGGGAATGGTAATACTTTCAACATGCTCAAGAGATGGATGAAAATTATGTCACAAAGCGCTGTGAAATATTTTACAAATTGGGACCAACCCAGTATTTTTTGCTTTTCTGATCTCCTGAACTTTCTTTTTTTAGGCTAATGATGCTTATCTTCAGATGGCCATTGGAAATGCCCCTTGGCCCATAGGTGTCACCATGGTTGGTATCCATGCCAGAACTGGTAGAGAAAAGATTTTTTCTAAGCATGTTGCACATGTTTTAAATGATGAAACACAGCGGAAATATATTCAGGTAAGCAACTGGGAGGGAAAGAAATTGCTCTGGAGGTTAACATTATACAAATCCCAAAGTGTCAATTTTGAGAGCAGAAGAATTAGAGCAAATTGGATATAGTATGCTAGGACACAAGTCCACTTTTTGTAAGCATGACTTCACGGAATTAAATAGAAACCTTGTAGTTTCATACATGTCACCAGACGGGGTGAGGTATTGTGCTTTAATTACTTTAGCATTGAAATAATGCTATTTCAGTTGGCTTTGGGAGTTTAGTGAAGAAGGACAAATTTAGACCATTGAGTAGTAAGTCTCATTTTGTTACTTTCCAGATAGATTTATTTAACATCTACTGGGCTAAAAAGAAGGTATGAATAATAAAAACCTGGCTTTAATCAACTGTTAATTAAACACTGTTAATTGTTTTTCAATAACATTTAATGACCCTTAAGGAAGGTCCAAAGATTTGGTTAATAGTTTATTTTCTTACTGTCCTTAGTGCCTTGCATAAACTCATTTGCATTGTTGTTGGGTAAAACTTTTCTCCTTAGTGGGGTGAAAAAAGTCAACTGTTATCCCACTCTTGCCAAATTGTCAAAAATCCCAGACTGTGTCTGTATAATGACTTGTGCCGGATGTTAATTCTAAAGTTTGAAGATGATACTTAGGAAGTTTACTTAAAATGTAAAATTTGCTTAAAACGCATAACATGCTTTCAGATTTTGTGCCAGAGAACAATTATTACCATATTCATGAATTATCTTGTTATGCGATTTCAATTCCAAGTGCTGAAGATTAACTTGTGTGTCATGCTTTATGCCTTATTCATATATATTAACATTTTCAAATAGGAGTTCAACTTGACTCCCTAATATGAATTGTAGAACTTACAGAGTTCAAATATACTTGTTGAGATTCAAAGGCCTTTCCATTTTTTAATAACCACCAGTGACTGTATTGGAGGCAAAAAGCTTTTATTTCGGTGGGGGGAGGGGAAAGTCGTTTGGTGTTAACAATAGAAAACGGTTTCCGGTGATTAAATTTGCTTTTTTATATGTATAAATTGTTTTAAAGACAGCTTTTTGTTTTGCAACAATGGCATGATTCCCACTTCCCCACAAACTTATTTTCTTCTCAAAAATATATCTAGCATTTTTAAAGATTTCTGGTTTACTTTTGGAAGCTATAGAATGACCTGCTCTTCTTCCATTGGTCTTCCTTTTTAATTGTTACCTTCCCATTAAAAAAAATAAGTGAATCCTCCTTTTTTCCCTAAGATGATTAGGGAAAATTGGTAAATATACTGTACGTTAGAAGGATGTTTGACTTAAGCCCAATAATTTTCTTGTGGACAGATGTTCATATGATAATACAGTCAGGTGGATTCATAGCTGGTTGAGTGCGGGATGCCACAGAGTACTGAATAATGGGTCCATGTCTATCTGGGTGGATGCTAGTGAGATGTCATGGGGTTCTTAGTCACCTCAATGCTGTCCTGTTAAACATTTTAATGACTAATTTGGTTGACTGTATGGAGAGGTTTATCACATTTACAGACAACAAGGGTAGGGTGTGTGTTAAGGTAGAAAAGACACTGGCATTCTAGAAGTTCTTGGCTGAAAGAAAAAAGATTCTAAAAAAAATATTTAGCAAGGATGAAAGGAAAAATTGAATCCAGTGGCCCTGTTGCTTGAGTATATAGTCTCAGCAATGCATATATGAGGAAGGATTAGGGAATTGAGTGGGCTATATGTGCAATAAAATTAATAGTATAATATGGCCGCTACAGGGTCTAATGAAAGCTTATGCTACATTATTAGACATCATAAATTTAGTGTAGGTTCCACAAGGTATAAGAACATAGTTCAGTGTTAGATACTCAGAATCTAGAACAGTACCTTAGTTAGTGGTGGGTGCTCAATAAATATTTGCTGATTGAATATTGTATAGGACAAGAAATGTGAAAATCTTATTCTTTCTGTCATCCTTGAAAGAAAGGATACTTTTGGTGGGGATCTGAGCAAGAGAGCTCTGGATAAGGGTGGAACTTTCTGGCAGAAACCAGCCAACTTTCTGGCAGAAGAACCAACTAAGGTATAGGAAGGCAGACGCTTTTTTTTTTTCCTCTAAGATTTTATTTATCCATTCATGAGACACACACACACACACACACAGACACAGGCAGAGGGAGAAGCAGGCTCCATGCAGGGAGCCCGATGGGGGACTCGATTCCAGGTTTCCAGGATCAGGGCTTGGGCCAGAGGCGGCACTAAACCACTGAGCCACCTGTGCTGCCCAGGAAGACACATTTTTAATCAGTGCAAGGAAACAATAGTTTTCTTTTTATTAAATGTTTATTTTTGGAATACAGATAGACTTACGAGAGGTTGCAAAAATAGGACAAAGAAGCTTTTTAACAGAAGTGCCCTGAGACCGGAGTAGGGGCGCTGGGAAGATATGAGGGAGCTCCCCAGCACTTGATATTTGCAAGCATCAGCTTAACTGTTGCCCTTTTTGGTCCTTGGGTAGCTTTCATTCTGCTCTGCTGTTTTCCTTTGCAGCCATTGATTAAACTTAAGGTTGTAAACTCACATGCCCATGACTATCAGTAGTGAGTGAGCTGAGCGTTAAGGAAACCCGACCCTCTGTGTTTTATTTTCCTGATTTTCATATTGGCCAAATTGAAGCAGTATTTCATTTTGTCTCAACTCTGTCATAATGGGACAGTGCAGGCTAGTGTGAAATGTCAGCTGATGTTTACCCTCAGTGGTGCCCGAGTCACTTCAGCTTGTTGTTCCCTTGGAGGAATATCTATCAGTGTTGCTCGATTTTCACTTTTGTAATACGCCAAAAATTTTAATTTTTTCTAAAAAATTGTATGCTTTTATTTTTAAAATAAGAGACACCAAATTAAATTAGCATTGTGTAAGAACAAATAAAATGCTGATTTTTTATGTTTTAAAATAAACCTATGGCTCTCAGCAGCTCAAGGCCAAAGAACACTGCCACTTCCATGTGAGAGTTTTATGAAATTCTTGGTGGTGGTGGATGGAGTAATTTGCCTTAGCAGTTTTGTCTTTTGAGTCTCCTCCTGTTACTTTAGGTGAGGTGGATTTGGACTAATCTTTATTTTATTTACTTATTTATTTAAAAGATTTTATTTATGTGACAGTGTGCACATACACAGGTAGACAAGAGCAGTAGACAGAGAGAAAGGGAGGAGACTCCTTGCTGAGCAAGGAGCTTGATGTGGGACTTTGTCCCAGCATCCCAGGATTGTGACCTGAGCCGAAGGCAGACAGTTGACCTACTGAGCCACCCAGGCTGCCTCTGGACTACTCATTAAAAAGAAACACTTTAAATATATTATTTGAAGTTGGAGTCAGGGGTTGACAAACTTTGTCTTAAAGGATCACGTAGAAAATACTTTGCGTTTCCCGGTGTCTGTTGCACGTCCTAGGCCCTGCAGCTGTAGTGTCGGAGCAGCTGGTGGCTGCGATCCAGGCAAACTCCACTTAGGCAGGAGGCCGGTGCCCATGGACCCGTTTGCTGACCCCTGGTAACCACCTACCCCACACATCTACCTCAAGATACTTGCTGAATAGGTAATTGTGGAAGTCCTTCACTAGGGTAACTATTTCTTTTTAAATGGCGATACCATAAACCTCAACAGTGTGCAAGGTGTACTAATCTTAATTGTACAACTCCGTGATTCTCCATATGCATCAGAATTTATCAAGATGGAAAACAACATCTAGATACAGAACATTTCTGGTGGCACCTCACAAGTTTGTTTATGCCTCTTCTTGGCCCAAGTCCTCTTGCCATCAAAAGTAACCACTCTTCTGACTTGTATAACTATAGGTTAATTTTACCTATTTTTGGACATCATTTAATGGAATCTTGGATGTATGGAATAATTCTTTATTTAGAAATCCTGAAAAAAAAAAAAAAAGAAAGAAATCCTGGTGAGGGGATGCCTGGGTGGTTCAGAGGTTGAGCATTTGCCTTTGGCTCAGGGTGTGATCCCGCAGTCCTGAGATCCAGTCCCACATAGGGCTCCTTGCATGGAGCTTGCTTCTCTCTCTGCCTCTACCTCTCTCTCTGTCTCTCATGAATAAACACATAGTCTTTAAAAAAAAAATCTAAAAATTAAAAAAAAACCTAGTGAGAAATATCTGTGTTAGGAAATATGGTCAAAAACAATTCAAGGGGCTTTTTTTTTTTATTTGTACCATGATTTCATCTTGGGGTTTTATGCAAACCTCTGTAGAATTTAAACTGAGAAAGTTGTTTGAACTGTTCTCTTGCTCACAAAAATTAAAACACACCGCAGGGAGAGTTTTTGTACCATGCAGATCAAAGGAGAGTTGTATAGTTTATCAGCTAGCCTCAAATCTGGGGTCAGATTTAAATTGGTATTAGTAACTTGAAGAACTTTGTTCTGCCAAATGCAGATGTAACCTTTGGCCCACATTTGGGTAAAGCTGCTTCTATACAGATTATAGGAAGCTCTTGGTTATTGAGAGACTTTATAATTCAGTCATTTAAAGACATGTACTGAAAAGGTTCACCTCTTGGGCGTTCTTTACTTGTCCTTAAAGACGAGAAGGAAGAAAAGCTGAAATGGACATCAAGTGGCTGTTTGCTCTGCAGGTCTCCTTCTGCACCTTGTTCTCTGGCTTTTATGCACAACTTTGACAGGCTTCCTTGCTTTTTGGCTTTGGATTGGAGTAGGCAGTTTGAAGGACAGGAAGACGTTTTGTAGGTGGGAGAAAAACAGATTTGGGGTGTTTATTTCCCTGGCCTTCTCCCTATGGAGTCCCTAGGGCACCTTCTACCTGAGTCCTGTAGCTTCTCTCAGGGGGCCATCTGCATACAGTTACCTTTTCTGGGCACCTGGAACCACTCCCCCTTCCTTGCCTGCTTCAGAGCAGGCTGGTTACCACTTCCCAGTATTGCAAGCCCTGGGGTACTGTACTGTCTCTTCTTGGTCCCGAGTCTTGCCCATGCCCTTG